GATGATCAATAAGATGGCTCCGAGCAACAATGGATAATTATCCATATGTAATATGTATGTATGTAGAACTACAACCGCAATATGCCGTGTACATTCACTATAATATTCACGTCATAATAACATAATATAATACCTGCAATGCGTTCACGCGCCGTGCTTATAATAATATAATATATGTTGGGGATAACTTATGCGTAGTTTTCTTTTTCTTTAGGGTGGGTTGATTGTGCACACACATGTTATACGAATACTGTATAAAATGCTTGTTGTTTAGTTGTCTACTGCAAGGTCCCGATAAAATGCCTCTTATTAAATATATACTGAGTATATATATTTATATACGAAAATTCACTCTACCTCGTTTATAAGTTAGTGACTGACAACTGTAGCTGATAGTAATCGATACTAATATATTCAAGACAACGTTTCGGGTTAAGTAAATCTTTTCACATCAGAGGGATTAGTTTTTTTATCGCAAGAGCCACACTTTTTATCATTTACATTAATGGAAAAATTATGTTGGTTATGACTAAACGAAGCGGGGTGATGGCCGTTAAGTAAGATAACACATTGTATTTATTATTAGTCTGTCTTGAGCATCGTAAAATAATTTATCACCGAAATAAATTAAAATTATAATGGTTGATAAGTGAAAAATGAATACTATACAAAGATATTATTTTAAAAGTTTTAGATTTCAAGTTGGTATACGTTATAACATAACTGATGTATGATATTAAAAAACATATTATTAATATTGATAATAATTATTGTTCCTCGGGTTTTTTAAATACACGGTTTTACATTTATGCATACAAAAATAAATGTCTTTGATCATTTCAATGCATCCTATAGTTATGTACTCGCTAGGTGCTAATGTTGTTACTTTTTTAATGTCGATTGTTTGCTAACACTTATTTGTACTAGTACATTCTAATATTTGTGTTCAACTTGAATGAATATTTCATTGTCATTGTTTCCACTTTCAGTCAATTAGAATTTTAATTTTTAAATAAATTATGAATATAAAAAATATAAATCTCACTTAAAAATTAAAATATCGTAAAAAACCAAGGTCAATTCACTCTATTATCATAACTTAAAACACACTATTGAAATTGGTGAACGAAAATGTACTATATCGTACATGCGTAAGACAAAGACAACACATGGGAGTGCGACGTTTTTTTAACCACGATTTGGGTGCGTGCCCAGAGAATTGCAATCATAATATTCTGTTACCATGCACGGTTCAGATAGATATTATGTCACAATTCGAGACCCCAGAAGTTACTACGTATATTAAATTATATTTTATAAATTATTTTAATATTAACGCGGTTACACGTTTAAACTAGCGGAGTACCTACATCGGTACAGTAAAGTGGTACGTGTACAGACAAGCATTACTGTGATAAATAATATTATCATATTATCATTTTTCGAAATGAATATAAATATTATTTTAATTTTGTATACATGAACTATAGAGATACAGAATATAGGTATACCTAAGTTTTAATATATATTGAGTGCATAGAGAGACCTACACTAAAAAGGTTTTTAGAAGACTAATAAATCGATTTTATCTGGGTAGGTTTTTACTTTTTGTCGTTTATAGGGACGGCTAGCGTCGATTTATCGCTATATGGACCTGAGGTCTACCCAAATGTAAGTGCATTGTATCATCCACAACACACTGAACACACAATAGTTGGCAGATGGCTTGACTTAAAATTTATGGTAGTGTGCCGTGTTGCACGATTAAAAGTAATTGGTCCCCAAAATTTTTATGGCCTATTGAATTTAATTTCGACTTGTGCCACGGCGTGAATACTGCGTAAACGCTTTATTATTATAATTATTGTTGAGATTATTAAAGGGCGTTCAGAATATATTCCAAGAATACAATCATAATTAACGAAACTCCCGAATTACCCGTAATTTCTTAGTAGGGCTGCCTGAATTTATGTCGCTTTATGCTTTCATGTATAATAATAATTGTTTTAATAACCATTGACTAAAAATATAAAAATACAATTATTCTAAACGGAGACGATCAGTCAGCAGTGTTATCCCATAGTAACTTATTTTATTTTAATAGAACGGTGGTAGGCGGTTAAACTGATTTTAAAAAAAAACGAAATATATCACTTAAAATAGGTACTGTTACCTAATAATGTAAAAAAACTACTAATTGCCATTGCCTATATCAACTTGAATTCCGACGTTTCCTAGAACTGTGTGAATAGGTTCGTGGTATTAGTCGCTCAAAAAAAAAAAAAAAAATCAACGCACCGATTGATATTTTTTGAATTACACTACCTACGAAATGACTAAAAATCATTACGGTTCTCGCGTTATCGCCGTCCAATTAAATCAAAATCAATATTAATTTCATGCAATAATAAACCTAGGTATATATTATGCTTTTAACGGAAACTCGCGACGAGTCCGGTACAACTGAATCGTATGTATTATAAAGTTTTGTTTGAACGAACGGCTTCGAGATTTGAACGATTAACGCGCAAGTGTCTACGGAATTTCGATGTTCTTTTTTATCGACCATCGCGGGAAAGCCGTGGTCGACGGAGAAAAAAAACAAAAATCGGTAAAATCGTACGCGGCGCGCATTTCGGGCGCACCCGACATCACGCACGAGCGGGGCGGTGCGCAGCAAATCGAACGCGGTCTCTACCTATGTTGTATATCGCGTTATATTATATTATTATTAGTTAATAATTCTATACCGGGTTAATGCGCGGTGGTGCACACGCGTTAAGCGCGCACGACGCAACATCGTCCGTACGGGTTTTCGGGCGCCCCAAGGTCGACCCGCGGCGACCCTCTTCGCGGGCAGCCGAACCGTCGCCGGCCGCCGACGTTGAGACGGAACAGAAAAAGGTCACAAGGCTCGGGGTAGTCCTCATCTATATCGCACGCACGCACCACGCACAGTCACACCGCATCGCACCGACATGATAATCATATATCTACGCGCGCGCGCACACGCCGCACCACCGCACAATACCTCGCACACCGCACGCAACACACCTTATGATGCGGTAGTTATTGTGCGTTTCGTGCGGAGGGCATCTATGGTCGCGGCGATTGAGGCGGCGGGCGGGCGGCACGTGTATAATAACACGCGCGTGCAGTGCGGACGGCGCGTCGCCGGTTCTCGAAATTTCGTCCCGCGCGGCCGGGCGCCGCGGCCGCCGCCGGCGCACCTACCGCGCGGCGATTGGACGAGATCGCCGGACCCGAAAACGACACACAAAAGGAATTCCCGCCGGAGGGATGACGTGTTTCGAGACTGTACTATATTATATGCGCACGTAGGTATCGCGTTACCTATACATTACGCGTGGCGCGGTATGTGTCTACCCGGTATGCGCGGTATCCGTTACCCGAATTCAAAAATAAATAACAACGATGATGATAATAGTAATAATAATAATAATAATAATAATAATAACAATAAAGAACGCTGTGGGTAAACAGCACGGCGCCGATGCTCGCCGCGTGTAGAAATAATAATAATTATTAGATTATTATAAGACGTGTCGATGCGAATATTGTATGCGTTACGCGCGCGACGTTTTCGCTCAAAGGCAGGTAATAAAAGAAAAAATAAGGAAAAAATGAGTATAAGTAAATTTCGACGTTTTTCGTTAATCGGATCTAGACAACAATCCGTCCGTACCCACTGAGCAAACGGCGTCGTCGCAAGTCGTCCGCGCGCCGTTTGCCGCGGCCGCGACAGATGGCGCGTCGCGATTGCTCGACCGTCATCGAGTCGTCTGTATTTTTCACTGGATTTCTAAATAACTTATAAGTTTCAGAATGTATTTTTTTATTTTTTTTTTATTTTTTTTTATTATTTTTTTTTTTTTTTTTTGGGCGTGTATACCTCTGCGGAGACGACCTCCCAATAAAAATATCTCATTTTTTTTTTTTTTTTTTTTTTGTACTATGTCGCGGTTACCTAGCGCTATGCATTATCGACCATCGCGTGGTTTTTCATTACCATGTTTTTCATCTAAGATTATATTTTCGATTTCAACCGTCTGACCGTACAGAACGAGTCCCTAGGCGCTGTAAAAAAAAAAAAAAAATACCGTCTCAACGATTCATATTTTTTATCCTTTAAAATGAACGTCGTGAGACGGACCTGCGTATATATTTACCGAGCACTGAAATCTTTGTGACTGTTGAATTTTGATTTGGATGTTTGGAAATATTGACATTTGATTTCAATTATTACTGTTGCCTTTACGGTATACATTTAGCACAAAAAACTTCGATTCCGGCTCTTCACTATAATAAATGTCGGTCTTATTCTGATCGGTTCCAGTATAAAATTTAAATAAAATTTTTATTACTGTCTCTTTTTAAATTTAAAAATGTCCATAATTCTATTGAAGTATAGATTCTAGTTTCGAAAATTGTAATTTAAAGATTCTAGTAAGGCCTTGGCTCCGATATGTTTTTTTCATAGAGATCCGATTCCAGTCTTTCATGTTTATATTATATAATTTTTCAAAGGGAATATTTCTGTAATATTATTTACTAATTTAATAGTGTAAAATTAAATAGCATAAACTAATAACAATATGGTATACTATTACCTCGATATTAAATTCAAAAAAACGTTGCTAAATGCCAATTATACTGAAAAAGCATTGTACTAAAAAAATAATTTAAATATTTCTTTCTTCATTTTAAAAATGTATATCGTGGAATTAATAATTTTTCTCTAACGTTGCTTTATATATTGTATATTTATATATATATATACAATATAATACATGGTAAAATTATTTTTAAACACGAACAGTTACAAAAAATATAACTATTATATACAATTATTTTATTTGAATAATTGTCCGACATTCGAACAAAAATAAACAACAATCAGACAGAGAATTTTGTTGTAATTAATTAGAAGCAAGAAATAATCCTCATACTAGTAGATACTAATAATTATAGGTACTCACATGGTCATGAAACGCAGTACCAATAAGTTGATGCTGGCGGCAACAACGGCGAGTCCAAACAAAATAAACACCAAGCTAAGCGCCACGTACCCGGGCATTGTCGTCAAAGCTTGATCGTTCTGAAACAAACGTACGTGTAACAATTATATTACAATTTACAATGTTTATCAATGGTTCCATATATTATATTCGTATGGGTGTTTGCAGAACATATTGTATAAAATAACAGTCACGCACTCGTAATAATTATACGAGTACCTACGTATAAGTCATCATTTTGAAGTATCAAACCAAAGTTGGTATTTGTAAAATAAATAAATAATAATTGAATCCAAAATTTGTATTGTGTTTATGTGTTCCAAATGAATGTAGTGTCGGCGTATATCGTGTGTACGCATACACACATTCGCATAACACCTGCGAATAGTTATTATTTTTGTATTATAGTGCGTTGTGTCGCGGATTATAATATTATGTATTCAATCGAGAATCGTGTGTTGTGTATTTATGCACGTACAAGACTTCGCGAGACCCTCGATTTAATCCCTCTCAGAATATCGTTTGGGGGCATACAAAAATAAAATAGATAATAATATCATCGATCATCAGTACTACGCTATTCTATCATCACGGGGGAACCCTCCAAATTGTTTTTTTTTTAAAACGTTGAGCTGTAATATTTATTTTCAATATTAAACAATGCGTTTTTTGAGATACGGAAAACACTTATGCAGCATGAATGACGCTACTAATAATACAATTTTTAAAATTATCTACTTTCTATTTCATTTTAATGATTTCCCCTACTAAGTCGTCTTTTTGTTTAAGCGGAAAACTGGCTGAAAGCTTTCGTCGAAATCGACACATTTTTTTATTTATTTTTTAACAAATATTGATTTTTAAACGACCATAGGTAAAACACGTTTAAAAAAAAAAAAAAAAAGTAGAATGGTAATGCGTGTATACCGTTAAAAAATTATTTAAAATTTCATTCGTAACCAAATAATTTCTGGTTTTTATTAGGTATAGTCGTTTTATGATTAACAAAACCCGTTATTCAGATATTACATATTTTTAATAAAATTTATCTTAGACTGCACAATATAACAATATGGCAAAAAAACGATTTGATCATATCCGATTTTTTGTAGGTACTTCAGTGAACAACATTTATTTTATTTCAACGTTGATGTTTATAATGTGAATATTTTGTTTCGTTACGCCAAGTTACGAAATCGATCAAATGTCGTAATATCTACCACCTACGATGTTTATTGCTTATTAGTATATGCAACTTTAGTCAATCTGTTAATATACAATTTCATTGCGAATGATGTTTCTTGTTTGATACTTGACGATTTTATTTCAGTAAATATAGCAAATCACGTGTAAATAATAAATCGACAAAATATTATTATATTTTTTTTTAGCGACATGACGAATTACTAATAATAATGTACAAATAACAATACTGTAATTATTCAATACTATTAACTTTATACAGTCTTCTGAGTGAAACGACGTTATTTCGTGTGATAATTACAGATAAATCAATAATATAATATCGCAGTATAGAATGTTGCGCTACACGTTTTGATGTCTCCGCACACGCGCCGCGTCACAAAATACCTATTATTCGGGGGGAAAAAAAATAATGTAGTATTATTGATGCGTCACAGCCGAATCCGCTGACGGATGGGTGGCACCTAACCGTCGCGTAGCTGCTGTACTGCCGAGGACCACACGACGACAATACTGATAATAATATTAATAATATGATACATCATCGTTCGGTGTCCTACAAATATAGACACGAGCGTCTGTATTACTATTTCGTTCGGCATTATTATTCGGCTATGTTATTATAGAGTCCACTGCGACCCTGATGGTACTGATAACATGAATATTTTATAATAAATTTATATATATATGTCATAAATGTATATTATGTGCATAGTATATTATTATCCTGTCATGTGTATTTTGAAGTATTCATCACGACGACGGGTTTAAGTGATCGGTCACTGGCACTGGATTTCGCTCCGATACACAAACAGTAAACGAATATAATATGTCACCATCGTCATCGTCATCATATTATTATTATATTTATATATCTACCGTGTACACGTATAATAATATACAAGAAAACATGGTATTGTAATAATAATATGACGCATTGATAATATAATATATTGTACAGAGACAATGGTTTTTATTTTCCCCGAATACAAGATCCAATAACAGAGTATCCTAGACAGTGCCCCATCTAAGTCGGCGGGTGGGTTAGTCAGATGCTGTAAATCAATATTGAGTTAGAGGTAATAAACTAAAAACTATTATGAACATGTATTACAACTATTGACTTATCGTTAAACTCAAGTATTTTTGTTAAGTTTGTGATTCATAATTTTAGAGTGAGAGCTATTGAGTGTAACGAGTCATGAAAACTACTTCTTACAATATTACTCAACTACGAGTAATAGAATTGTCTCCCAGGGAGAAATTTAGATACTGTACGGGAGAAATATAGTGATGATGAAATAATGATCCCTAGTTTCTTGTTAATTTTTAATAAAAAAATTTATAAAATTGTATTAAAAAATAGGTATACAAAATATTATTAAGTTGATTTATATTTTATACTCTGTTTTTAAAATGATGAAAAAATATATGTCATTATTTGTATAATATTTAGTTATTTTATATCACTAACATAAAAAAGGTCTTTTTAAAGGAGAGCGTGAGATTTTTGAAAATTTACCAGGGAGGCACCATAGAATAAAAGGGCTGCTCTATTAACAACAATGAAGTAGACCTACTTGTTATTTAAAAATATTAAGATACTTAAGTATAATTAAACGATAATTTCAGTTAGAGAAGTAAAAAAAAGACAATTAAAATAAGTATGAATTTGATCATGAGGCGTTCATGGTAATAAACAGAGTTAGAAAATTTTTGTGAATGCAAATTTTTTTTGGTAAGTCATGAACATTGAAAGTAAGATAAAAATTTGTTTCACACTTTTCTAATGTATAAGAAATTGTATTTTGTTAATTTAAATTTCATAAGTTTCAAGTGCTATTTATAAAAATATTTTTATATAATAAAGGAAATGAGCAATATAACACCTGTTAAGTGTATAAATACGCGAATGAAAACATGTTTTTTGATTTTTACTCAGTATATGTACGTTGTTGATTGTTATTATCGATGACATCACACAATTTATTCAATTCATTTCCAATAATTTGGTTATTTTTAAAATATATGTCAAACAAATTCTACTGCAATTATCGGATTCACCGTATTTACGTTTCAGAGTTGACTAACAGTATTTAAATACCTATATATATATATAAAATAATGACATTTTTATAAAAAAAAAAATTTAAAAAAATTTAGTTGACAATTTTATTTTATGTATTCTAATTTTTAGTGCCATTTGTTTGCGCTTACATTGGTGTTATAAAGTGTATATTAATGCGCTATTATTGTATTTTTTCAATGCTATAACTTGCGAGCCCTGGTAATAAACATAATTGGTATAGAAATTCATAGACTTTACCTCAAAAATAATCTTTTATATGCCATTATGTGAGTGTGAAAGTTTAGCGATACTATAGTTAAGGTGGTCTAATGATATTTGTATTGTATAATGCGTGCCTAGTCTGCCCACAGGTGGGTTTTATTGTATTATCCAATCGAAAAATGGATAGCTTTTTATTAATCGTCGTCGTGTTGATTCTCAGGGATAAAACGGATAAAAGTGTAAAACAATATTAATTACCACAAAGATATACTATAATAATTTATTATTATGCACATGAATCACATGTTTTGTATAAGATTCAAAGCTGGATTAACCATTAATACAGTGTCCTAAGGCTTACGATGGTTTATATAGGTACTATTAAAGTTCCTGCAAGCATCAATATTTAATTTTTATAGTCAAAGCCAAAGATTTTATTGAGTGTACCTATTACCTTGTACTATCATAATAGTATATTAATTAAATGTTTGTCATTATTGTATACTACTATATTCGCATCAAAATAATATAAAATATACTGATAGGGGTGAAAAATATTTTAAAATACTTACTCGAAACGTCAATAAATACAATACGATTCGAGTGTTTAGAATTTAACGGCTTATATTTATAATAATATATTATAAATATAAATATTTCATTAAAAATACAGAGTTTAAGAATCGTTGAAGTAGAAGATAAAATATTATACAGTCGTAATTAGTTAACTGTGTGTATGTTTCGCTTATTGTCATTTATTTACGAATGCTACGAGTTTATGACTTATTATTGTTATTTGTTGGAATTATATTATATTTCATATCAAATTTGCAATGAAATTAGTTTAAACAGTAAATACTCAGCACTAGGCAGAGTCCATTAAAAATCAGCGGAATTAATGAACAAACGTTTGACCTCTAAAATGTTTCAAATGAGATCTAATCAAAACAGAATAAACCATAAAATGCGGCGAAAACAATAAAAAACCCAAATCATTTGTCAGAAAAATATTATTATCAATTAAATATTATACAATGTTACCTCATTAAAGAGAAAAGCACATTGTGTTTATTTATATGGTATTATTATAATTGATTTCAACAAATAAATGAGAAATACTTCCAATTTTCACAAAATATTAACGAATTGACCTGGGATTAACCAAAAAAAATTCTTTGGTTGAATTTAAAAATTGTTAGATAAGTATATAATATTCATACATTTTATTTTGCAAACAACACTGAAATAATTCATTAATGGAATCTAAATAAATCCTTTTTAAATAATATATTTTTTTTTTTTTTGTCACATTTCATTTTTACTTTATAACAGTGCTGCATTCTTTTAGATTTCAAAAAAAAAGGTATGGTATTTTCGAAAAATATGTAAACTTCAAATGTGTATAATGTATATATTTTAGGTAGGTCATATAATATGTTTCGAACCATATGGCTATAATGTCGCATTGTCGTACTAAAAATACATCAATAACATTGAGGCACAATAGAAACATCTGCCAGATTTGTGAGTATATAGTATATATCGTTCTACAGAAAAGCATCTGTTGAAGGCTGGAAAGTAGAAAAA